TCATGTCCTCTTTTACTTCTCGAAGTGGTGTTTTATAGCTTTTTTTGTATAGGTCCTTCGCCACTTTAGTTAAGCTTATTCCAAGGTACTTGATTTTCTGAGACACTATTGTGAATTGGATATTTAAAAGCTACCTCTTTCTGGGGCTGGAATGATAGTACAGAAGATAGGGCGTTTGCCTTGCACGTCACCAACTCAGGTTTAATTCCTGGCATCCTGTCCCCCGTTCACCACTAGGAGTAATGCCTGAATGCAGAGCCAGAAGGAACCCCTGAGCATTGCCAGGTGTGACCCAAAAAGTCAACAACAACAAACCCAAAACACCCCTCTTTCTACTCTTTTATTATTTTCGCTTATTTGTATATAGAAAATCCCAGGACTTTTGGGTATTATTTTGTAACCTGACCCTTTCCTATACAAATATATTGTTTCTAGGTAGTTTTTTTTTTTTGGTAGTTTTTAGGATTTTCTAAGTATAGTGTCATGTCATCTGCAAAAAGTGAAAGCTTGGCTTCTTCCTTTCCTCTCTGAATGCCCTTGATTTTTTTAAACTAACTTTTATTAAGCCAAGCACTGTGCTACAAAGTAAATTCTCAGATTAATAGGCATCTACATCATAGAAGGGTTGAGTCTTCAATGATGCTATGTTGAATGAGAGTTAATTCTCAGCTTTCATATGTAAATTTGTTCATGTCTAAAAACAACACTTTGAAACTCTGAGGTTGAAAAACTGTTTTGTTTTGAAAATGACATCATGATGTTAGAAGTGCTGGATGTGAATATGATGTTTGCTTTCCAAGTGTGTCTGTATACAAGAACAGTACTCCTATCTTTAAATGTCGCAACAGACTGGCTAGTCTGCTTACGTCAAGAACCTCTCAACTATATTGAACACAGTCTCAGCACAATTGACAGTTCTAAATGCTCTTTGGGACAGGCTGTACGATTTCACTAAATTATCTGAAATCTCCATAAAAGCTTTTATTTCATTCATCGACCTCTTTTTTGTTTTCCCAAAGTAAGAGCTTGATGGAAGCTTTGAATATATCTGAGTTCTCGAGCTGGACTTTATTTACTCAATTCTTTGTAGAAAAGGCTAGGAGTTCGAAATCATAAAGCACATTCCTTTGTTTCCCCCTTGAAAAGGCAATGCTCTGTGACTTGTATCTGAAAATTCTTGGAATATGAACTTCCCTGGTTTTGTCTCTCCCTTTGTAGGAGTCACTTAACAGCTCCTCCATGAGGCACAGTGAGTCTGAAGAACATCATCTGGTGTCCGTTGACAGATCCCTGAGCCAGTCCTTAGAGGAGACAAGCAGATGAATACTTTGGGCTCCTGATGGTCATTGAACTCCTGGAGCCTTTCTTATATTTAAGTGTAATTGGCTAAACCTCGTTGAGTTCCTGAGATGCTCCAATCCTCCATGCCACAAAGCTCACTGGGGTTTGATCCTTGGCATTTCATATAGTCCCCTGAGGCTGCCAGTGATCCCTGAGGGCAGAGACAGGGGTATGCCCTGACTACTGCTGGATATGCCCCCCCAAAAAATTTGTTTTAAGGAGGTAAAGGAAAAGGAGAAGGATAAAGAAAGAAGGAAGAGGAAGAGGAGGAGGAGGAGGAAGGAAAAGAGAAGAAAGAAGAAGGAGGAGGAGGAGGAAGAGGAGGAGAAGGAGGAGAAGGAGAAAGAGGAGGAGGAGGAGGAGGAGGAGGAGGAGGAGGAGAAAGAGGTGGAGGAGGAGAAAGAGGAGGAGGAGGAGGAGGAAGAAGCGGAGGAGGAGGAGGAAAAGGAGGAGGAGGAGGAAAAGGAGGAGGAGGAGGAGGAAAAGGAGGAGGAGGAGGAAGAGAAAGAGGAGGAGGAGGAGAAGGAGGAGGAGGAGGAAGGAGGAGGAGGAGGAGAAAGAGGAGGAGGAGGAAGAAGAGGAGGAGGAGGAGGAGAAGGAGAAAGAGGAGGAGGAGGAGAAAGAGGAGGAGGAGGAGGAGGAAGAAGAGAAGAAGAAAGGAGGAGGAGGAGGAGGAGGAGGAGGAGGAGCTCCATACCCTCAATTGGAGTCAAGGAATTACCCAGGGCCTTGGGCTCATCTCCCACGTAGCCTTTCTCTGTAGCGTGCCTGTCATCTCTTTGTGCTTTATGCTAACTCCAGTCCCTCTTCACTGACTGCCACTTAGAAAAACCAACCAGAGCACTTTATAGAGCTGGCATGACTGAAATGTGTGTGCCATGAAGAGCACTGAGAGCACATTAAATGCTAAAATGGAACTTTCCCCTCCATTAGTGGCAACAGGTCTTCAATTCCTACCATCAGAAACTCCTCCCTTTTACCCCACAAGCAACAGCTTCATATCATGCCACTTGTCACTGTCACTGTCATCCCGCTAATCATTGTTTTACTCAAGTGGGAGTCAGTAGCATCTCCCTTTGTCCCATAAATTGTAAACTTTATGCTCTCTCTCTCTCTCTGCAGATGCGGCATGCCAGCTGGATGTCCTTGGGCATGATGGTGACGTGCTTAGTGGGGATGGCGCAGAGGTTGGTGCCCTCAAAGAGCCCCACCAGGTAGGCCTTGCACATCTCCTGCAGTACCGTGAGGGCTGAGCTCTGGGAGCGCAGGTCGGTCTTGAAGTCCCGTGCGATGTCACGCACCAGCCGCTGGAATGGCAGCTGGCAGATGAGCAGTTTGATGGACTTTTGGCAGTGGCGGATCTCACGCAGTGCCACGGTGCCAGGCTGGTAGCAGTGCGGCTTCTTCACGCTGCCCATGACTGGCTCGCTCTTGAGGGCTGCCTTGGTGGCCACCTGCTTGTGGAGCTCCTCCTCCTCCTCCTCCTCCTCCTCCTCCTCCTCCTCCTCCTCCTCTTCCAGCTTGGTGACTTGCATGCCATCTGCTTAGTACAAGCCCTCTCATTCTTCCCAACTCAGCTGGAGACTCCTTCAGGGTTAGGGTAATGAGACCCATTTTAGCTACTGTTGTTGGCATATTTGGTACATCACCGGTAGCTTGCCAGGCTCTGCCGTGTGGGTTGGATACCCCTTAGTAGCTTGCTGGGCTCTCTGGGGGAGTGGGGAGAGGTGGAGGCTTTTGGGGCGATCTCGAATCATCCCTGCCAATTAACCCTCACACATCCCTCGAGAACCTCACTGCTGTCTGGAGCACCCTCTTTTCCACCTGCTCTTGGCTTCTCTCTCCTTTTCCCCTAATTCTACTTGATATTGGGGCTGAGCTCTCGAGCTGCTGAGCTGAGGAACTAAAGAAGAAGAGTTCCGGACAACTCACAGTGCAATAGGTCTGGAAGGGAAAAGCAGCTGACGAAGGCTCTACAGCCAGAGTCAACACCAAGAGCTCCCAATGCCATAGCTCCAATGGTGCCCCCCCAGACCAGTAGAAACCATAGTTCAAGGCCCCCAAGATTGTCTCTGAGCCCAGAGAAACCTATTAACCCCGCAGCCAGTGTTGCTTCTGCAAATTGAATATCACTGACACTACTCAATCATTTCCGCCCTGTGCTAGAGCAGCCTCCGCCTCCTTCTTTTATTTTTTTTCTTTTTGGGTCACACCCAGCGATGCACAGGGGTCACTCCTGGTTCACGCACTCAGGAATCACTCCTGGCGGTGCTCGGGGGACCATATGGGATGCTGGGAATCGAACCTAGGTCGGCTGAGTGTAAGGCAAACGCCCTACCCACTGTGCTATTGCTCCAGCCCCAGCTTCCTCCTTCTGTCATCATTAGTTCCCACTTTGGAGATGAAGGCCTCTGACCACCACACCCATCTTGGTGCCCATCTAGTGCCCTAGGTGCAAAGATGCCTAACAAAAATGCCTCTCTGACTTTTGGCTTCTGTTTGGCATCATCCCAATAGTGTGGGAACGTGTCCCACACTGGAAAAGGATTATTGTCTGGCAGCAGAAGTTAAAGCTGTCAGATCTGGGATTGATTCTGGTACCACATGGTCTCTTGAGGTCAGTCCAAATGTTAGCACCTGACGTGTTAGCGCTCTGGTCTGCTTGAAGACTTTATGCTTACATAGAAAGTTAAATAGTTCATTAATAATTTCACATTTGTTACTAGTCACAAAAGATTGAGTTCAGTAAAATCACTGTCACTGTCCCTGTCCTCCCGTTGTTCATCGATTTGCTCAAGCAGGCCCAGTAACGTCTCCATTGGAGACTTTGTTGTTACTGTGTTTGGCATATCGAATACATCACGGGGAGCTTGCCAGGCTCTGCCTTGTGGGCGAGATACTCTCGGTAGCTTGCCGGGCTCTCCAAGAGGGGCGGAGGAATTGCCCCTGGGTTGACCAGGTCGGCGGCGTGCAAGGCAAACGCCCTACCACTGTGCTTGAGTTCAATAAAATAGATGGATTAAACAAAGTTTTCTTTTTTAAAAAATCTTTTATATACAACTCCTAGAAGATTTAAAGTTATAGATGTGACTCAAATAATGCTTACATTAATGCTACCTATACACTTCAATGCACCTATAATGTTCAGTATCTTAGCAGCCCATTTTCTACCTGGAAAATTCATATCCAAAATGAGAAAAAGCTTTTGAGACAACATGCCTTTTAAATGATGACATTTCACAGGAGAAACTTAATTTTCTATGTGTCTAAAGATTAGAATCCAAAAATTGCGATTTATTTCTGCAAACTGAGTTCCAGCACAGCAACATACAACTAAAACATTTTCTGATTGTCTTTGATAGAAGCACATTTGAGAATGTAGGTTGTGAAATTGTGTAGAAGTGCTTAGTGACACGACTCACACGAATCATCCAGGCTTGCTTATTCATTAACTTTAAAAGATTATCCTAAAATCTAAACTTAAAATTCTCCTTGAAGATTCATGGATTGCTAGCATGCATTGCAGTCTCCTTCCCCACACATGGGAGAAACTCATTCTAATAGAGTCCTTCACAAATTCCTCGGAGTCTTCCAGAACTGTGTCAATATTGTCTCTTACCTTCTGTGCTGAAATCCCACCATCTCCTCAACGCTTCCATTATACTTATCACTAGTTAGCTTTTCAGCTGATGACAGTCATCCTTTGCCTCTGAACTATGAGCAATTGGAGGGGAAATACTCTAACTCAAATGGGCTAGAGCACATGCTTTGCACAGAGAAGGCCTAGAATTAATTCTAGCGGCACATTGTCCCTTAAACATTGCCAGAAGCAATCCCGAAGCACCACTGGGTGTTGTCCAAAACTACAAAACAAAAAACAAACTAACAAAAACACCAATATATATTATATAACATATAATATATAATATATGATATGCATATTATATATTGTTATTGTAACTGTTTTTGGCATATCGAATACACGGCGGGTAGCTTTCCAGGCTCTGCCATGCAAGCAGGATACTCTCAGTAGCTTGCTGGGCTCTCCGAGAGGTCTATCTATCTATCTATCTATCTATATCACAACCATCCTGTTATTCGTCGATTGCCTCGAGCAGGCCCCAGTAACGTCTCCTTCATCCTAGCCCTGAGATTTTTTTTTAAAAAGTGCCATATTCAAGGCTCTTTTGGGGTTAGGAGAATGAGACCCATCATTGTTACTGGTATTTGGCATATTGGGTACGCCACCAGGAGTTTGCCAGACTCTGCCGTGTGGGCAGGTTACATTCGGTAGCCTGCCAGTTTGTCCAAAGTAGGAATGAGATGATAAGATGTTGCGCGGCCGCGAATGCGAATGTGGCCACGCACTTCCGGGAGCTGAGTGTGATAATCTCTGGATCCTGGCCGTTGTTGGGGTTACACGGCAGTTGGTGGGTATAACTGTCTAGCTACTGGCAGGCAGGTCCAGTCCCAAACCATGCAGGCTTGGAGATCTCAGCCCCGGGTCCCACACACCTGAATTCCTCTGCCAGTTCTTTTATGCGTGAGGCTCATCCAAGTGTGTGGAGAGTGGTCCCAGCATGGCCTTGACTGGGGCCCGGAGGTCTTCAGCTGTTGGACCCTGGTGAGGACAGTATATATATATATATATATATATATATATATATATATATATATATATTCTCTGTATGATTTGTTGCCTACTATCTGAACTCCATCAAATTTGGTGTGGTAATTATGGAAAATGGATAGAGAGTGTCTTATAATGTATCCAGGAAAATGCTCACTCATGCATGAGGCTCAGCCCAAGCGTGTGGAACAATAACGGGTCTCATTCCCCTGACCCTGAAAGAGCCTCCAACACAGCACCGTTGGGAAAAATGAGTCAGGAGAGGCTGCTAAAATCTCTGGGCTGAGACAAATGGAGACGTCACTGGCACCTGCTCAAGTACATCGATGAACAACGGAATGACAGTGATACAGTGATATTATATATAATTTATAATATGTTCCTATCAGTGGAGTCATAATTCAGGTCTCAGATAAAATGTAATTTCTAGAAGGAAACATTTCCTGAAATTAACTATCACATTTCTCAAAACATGACAGAGTTCTCTTTCACAGCATCTCATCAGTGGTAAGGTAGTTACTTTGGGGGCTAAAACTTGCTTCCAGTGCCTTCCCAATCAGATCCACGAGGTTAGGCTAACCCTTTTGGTTCCTCCTCAACCTGGATATCTACAGATCATATAAATACAACATAATCAGCACAATGTAGTATTCAGAAGCTACTCTTAAAAGATTAGACATCTGATTTTTTTTAAATTTATAGCACAGCGGGTAGGGCGTCTGCCTTGCACGCAGCCAATATGGCCGACCCGAGTTCGATTCCTCCGCCCCTCTCGGAGAGCCCGGCAAGCTACCGAGAGTATTCGATATGCCAGACACAGTAACAATAAAGTCTCCAATGGAGACGTTACTGGGCCCGCTCGAGCAAATCGACGATCAACGGGAGGGCCTTTATTTTTTCATTAGTGAGACACCATGAGGTACAGTTGTAGACTTACAAATTTTTGTGCTTGGGTTTCAATTATACAATGATCAAATACCCATCCCTCCACCAGTGCCCATTTCCCACCACCACGGATCCCAGTATCCCTCCCAATCCCGTCCCCCCATCCCACCCTCCCTCTGTGGCAGGGCATTCCCCTCTAGACAGCTGATTTTTATCTGTTTAGACTTCTTCAGCAGGAGTTTGCAGATGCCCCAGGCTTCTACTCACTAACACTCTTTTACATCTGTAAGTTTCCTCAGGAAGGGTCATCGCCTCCTTTTGCTTGTCTTTGTGAGTCTCATCTGAACCTCATTCAGGACCGTCTATCCAACACCATCCATCTATATCCCGTTTCACACCCTTTCGTCCTATTTTCCACCCTAGCCACTGCCTCAGCATAAAGTTCTGTGCGAACTGCCGTTGGCTTTGTGAAGGGGATCATTTGTTAGTCTCTGGGCTTGGCCTTGGAGCTCTTCCATTATCTCTTCCCTGGTTCTCTGGCTCGAGGAGTCAAGTTCTGGGGAAACACTTGACACATAAACATGCGTAAGTCAGATCTCAGGGTGTTAATGCCGATGGGGCTACCCTTTGCCAATGTCCATGGCAACAAAACAGAAACACAGAGCACATGTGTGCAATCTTTATTCTTGAGCTTCTTTGGATGTGGTTTAACAAAGCATAACTATTCACCTTTGCATTGGCCACATCAGCTGGGCTTGACAGAAAACTTGTTTGTTGCAACGTTGAACATGAAAATGCTATGTGAAAACCTAAGTGAACAGGACAGAAATGGCCCAAAAAGGAACTCAGCAGAGGAAGGGGTGGTTTGGTGACTGATTCGAACTCACGAAGGAGGAAGGCTTGCTCTGGAGAAGTGTGGGAAGGAGGTGACCCAGCCACACAGTTGGGGTGCTCTGTTCTGCTTTGAGAAACAAGGTGAGCATAGGAGTGTGAACCTCCTCAACTGTGACTTGTGGCCACAAACAAATCAATGAGGGCCCTGGAGTGTCATTGAATCAACTTTGTGTCCCTTGTATTTCTCTCTAAAATTCAGAAGGAATGTCTGGAATTAAGAAAACTAAAATAGAATTTAGTCCTATACTATGTTCCTACATAGTTGGGGAGTTTCTTTTCTTTTCCTGTCTACTTTCCAATAAAACTTTCAAAGGAAGGAAGGGAGGGAGGGAGGGAAGGAGGGAGGAAGGGAGGAAGGCAGGAAGGCAGGAAGGGAGGGAGGGAGGGAGGGAGGGAAGGAGGGAGGAAGGAAGGTAAACAGAATTGACCTGCCAAAACTAAAACTAAAATAAGCTAGCCTGAACCTTGTAGGTATGGTCTGTAATAACATTTCTCTAGGAGGTTGGTTATAGTACCTTTTAGATGGATAAAGACCCTAGACCCCAGTCTGGACAGTTTTGGTGGAGACGATGACAGTGGGACCCTCCTTGACCATTTTCTTACCATTTTTCTCATTACTGTACAAACAGTCCACCCAATGGTATATCTCCACCATTTTCTGTACCTGTGATATATGTACATTTTATATTCCTTCACTTCATGTATCCATCATTCTCTCTCAGAAATATGCAAATGTCCTAATAACCCATTAAACATATGTAGAGTGCTGTATCTCCCTAACTCTACTAGGCATAAAACCAGACACCTATTGGTTTTGAAATCTGACTTAGTTATTCTGAGGTAGAACCCAGGGATCACAATGTTTTAAAAATATTCCAGGAATCTTGACAACATAATAGAGATGGCAGGTAGCCTGGATTCCTGTCCAAGAGTATACAGGTAAGCTGGTAAACTGGGCAAGTGAAATGATACATACATAGTTAATTTTAAATATGACAGCTATTAAAGGTGCTTTTAAAAATGCAAGAGTAATCGAAACTTTATAACAGAAAAATAAATTGGGGCCAGAGCAACAGTGATCCCCAGCACCCCATATGGTCCCCTGAGCATCACCACCAGGAATGATCCCTCAGTGTAAGGCCAGGAGTAAGCTCTGAGCACTGCTGGGTGTAGTCCAAAAACAAGAAATAGAAAAGGACAGAGAAAAAATTAAAAACCCTAAAACCCCTTAATTCTTTATATGAAGAATTGAAAATATCAAACCAAACTCTGCACAAACGTATGCCCCAGTGTTACAATTCAATGTTGTAGCAAGTACACAGACATTGACTTCATCCTTAATTTCCAATGCACTATATTCCATAACACAGTGAAACCGTGATTCATCTTGTCGATTCCTCAGGCAGATATTTGGTTGACTCTAATCTTTAAGTTTTACAGCAATGCTTTGTGCATGAATGTGCAGACAAGTTGTTCTGTAGAATAGGTTCCTAGATATAATCTGGATAGATTATTTAAATAGCTACTATCAAAATTTTCCCCCAACAAGGTCATCAAATTACATTCCCACTATCACGTATAATAATGCCTCTTCCCCTCACTCCCTGGTCTTTCTGGGTGTTATTAATTTGTCCAATATTAATCAATGATATTTTTCTGTTTTTAATGATAAACACATTATGATAGATAAAAGTCTTTTCTTTCTTGGGGGGGGGGGGCTGAGGCACATCCAGTACCTCTTAGGGATTACTTTTGCCTCTGTGATCATGGCTCACTCTTGGAAGGGCTTGGGGAACCATGTTGGGTGCTGGAAATCGAACCTGTGTTGGCTATATGCAAGGCAAGTGCCTTCCTTCTATCTTATCTTTCTTTCCCCACATAAATGTCTTTTTGTTTTTGTTTTTGTTTTATTAGTGAAACACCATGAGGTACAGTTGTAGACTTACAAGTTGTTGTGCTTGGGTTTCAGTTATACAATTATCGAGTACCCATCCCTCCACCAGTGCCCATTCTCCATCCCTACCAATCCCAGTATCCCTCCCACCCCCGATCCCCCACTCCACCCTGCCTCTGTGGCAGGGCACCCCCTTTTGTTCTATCTCTCCTTTTGGGTGCTGTGGTCTGCAGAAGAGACGTTGGGTGCAATCATGTTCGGTCCATAGACGACTTTCAGCAGGCATCTCCCATCCTGGGCAGATCTTCCCAGTACCCTTTATTTGGTGCTCCCTTCCCTATCTGAGCTGCCTTTAC